AGGGCTGGCCCCATCCCTGTCCCCCCTACCCCATACTTTAAAAAAACAACCCCCCCAGCACTTACCGGCAGCTCCAGCTGCTGTGTGGCTGCCTGGGGCCCTGCCCACACAGTGCTGTGGAGAGTGACAGCCTGAGCGGCCCCAGCCTGGGCCCTCCTGCCCCTGTGCTGCCTGAAGGGTACCAACTGGCTGGGTCCCAGAAGCTCCTGAGAGCTAGTAGCCCTGAGCTACTCGCCAGGGTGGCTTTTTATACCGCTGGGACCAGTACAGGGCAGCTTTTTATACTGTTGGGGACAGCACAGGTGCTGGCCCTGGGCTCCAGATCCCCCTAGCTGAAGATCCAGGAGGAGCCAGGCAGGGTTATTTTGCCCCAAGTGGCACAATTTGCTCCACAACAAAGTGCATGTCTGAGCATGTGTGTTGAGGCAAAAAGCCCCGGCTCAAATTTGCACCGCTTCTATTTGAGCTGCTGCAAGTGCACGTGCTTTCATGTGTGGACGCGCCCTCAGAATCTCTCCCCATAAGGCAAGTTTTCCAATCATTTATTCACAGCTTTTCTCTGAACAATCCCCACTTTATCAACATGCTATACAGATTCGAAGACAGCTTTTTGCTATAGCTTTGGAGCCATTACTCGTAGTGTCCAGAATAACAGTATAAACACGTATTATATTTTTTCCAAAACTATCAATAATTAAATCAAATAATTACCCATTTGGACATCCTTCCAAACCAGGCCCTTTGCACCTGTAAAATGATCATTATATATGTCTATTAGCATATACACTCATGTAATTCCATACGACATAACAGCTTAAATTATAAACTGTCTGAATATTAACATTCTGATAAATAATAACAAAACATATAAAGGTTTAAAAGTCTTGCTACAGAATCACTTGTGTGTGGCCTACAGTATGCTGTATATACAGTTCAAGGAATAGCCATCTACATAAGCAGCCAAGACCTACATGAGCAATATTCAAACTTTCCCCCAAGTAAATCTGCAGAGGACCAATTTACCCATTCGTAGAGTAAAATAGACACAAAATAGCCTAGAGAGACAGCTGTTTAGCAGCCTCTGCAGAATGAGCCAGACAAATTCTTGTACTTCTATTACTAGAGAGGCTCAGGACTGAACATATCTGGAAATGGAACTAACTTCTCACTTGGGATCATCCTTCCAAGACAACACTTGAGGCTATGAGAAAACACCTATGCTGAGAGATACCACACTGGATGATACCCACTTTATAGATGAACAAAGGACTTCAGTCTCTAGTCCCTTAGGTCTAATGAAAAATGTCACTGGCAGATACCTATCCTAGGCAGTGCATAGCGCAGGGGTGGGCAAAATGTGGCCTATGGGCTGGATGCAGCCCACCAGGCCATTCTATCCAATCCGCATGGCCCCTAAGAAACTTAGAACATTAATATTTATCAGCCCCGGGCTGCCCGTTATGTGGCCCTTGATGGCTTGCCAAAACTCAGAAAGTGGCCCTCCGCCCGAAATAACTGCCTGCCCCAGCATAGCATTTGCCTGTACTGTTGTATTGATGGTTGGACTATTCCAGTAATAAGCTAAAGAATCTAACAGCTTTTTTACTAACATTTAGCAGATACCTAGCACAGTTTACAGAGTTGGGTATGGCATTACCTAAAATTCCATGAATTCTACCGTCAGTTATTAACTCTCTATATTGGTTTAAATGCATACCATCTTTTGGATTCCTTAAATTATTTTTGACAGCCATGTACATTGAACACCATGGCTTCAATTCACAGATGAAAATATAGTGAACAAATACGTGTGAAAGTCTAACGGGAAGTGTTGGCAGATGAGACGCATAGTGCATTCCCAAGTACTGCTGAGCTGTACGATGCATGTATTACTTGGGAATTGTGGTTGCTGTGGTATCTACCAAGATGAGGACAGCATTACAGAAGAGTATTACATCACCTCTGAAAAATGGAGCAGAGCAAGGAGAAGAGTCTAGTCTGTGGGCATCTGTTCCCTTCTTATTTAAAGAAAATACATCATCTCAAAGCAGCTACAGAGTAAGTCAAGCAGTGGATAAGGAGTTAGCCCATACCAGGAATGCAGTTTCTGAATTTTCTTTAGCAAGAAGGGGCCAACCCATTTGAAAATGGCAGGTGAAGTGGGGGATTTTTCACCCTAAAATAATTTAGGTTTTTGGGGGGGCTACTGCTCCTTTTTTGTATGCATGTTACATTGCTTTTGTATGTGTTACACTGTGCCCCCCATTCCAGATTTTTAAATCATTATGGTCACCATACTTAGAATTCTTCCTTGCCATACTGTGTCCTAGGCCTAGGTCCCTGCTCAGTCCTGAGATCCTTGACATAATTCTTATACCATATATCCAGGCTCCTTTCTTCCTCAGCTCATCCATTGCTCATAGATACTACTACTATGATTTCTCTAGGGTCTTCTGGTGTCACCTGCAATAACTATTGCCTCAGCCTCACCATGGTCCTGTTCAGAAGTCTTCACCATGGGTCCAGCTTAGCCCACGTGTACAAGGAGCTTCCAACTTTCTGTCTTCCTATTCTAAACTGACTCTTACTTCCTGGATTGCAGTCTTTATAGATCCTGGATTGGACAGAGCTGGAAGTGGTCAATGCCATGGTCCTTAAAGGATCCTCTCCCTTTGAGACCTATGTAATCTAATTCTTCTTTATCCTGTGTGATCTTTACAAATCCCAAGACAGCATGCAGTAAAAATGATCCTATTTCAAGGCCTTCAGTACAATTCTTCTTCTAAAAATGCCAGTTTAACATACTTGCTTCAATCTGAGCAATATTACAAATGGCTTCCAGCTTCAAAGTAATAACACAACGCAGAAGTATTACCCCAAATAAAAGGGATGCTGACAGAGCATCCACAGTCTATCACCAGCTAGTCATTTCTTAAATCAGAAACTGGAGGCTGAAAAGGGGGGCACAGATTTTAATTTATGTCCTTTTCTATTTTTTTCCCCAAAAGAAAATCCATCAATATGTAGCCAAATAGGATAAAGGTAAAAGATGTTAGAAAATGATAAATCAGTTTGCGCTTTTCAACTTTCATGTGATTTTATGATTCATTTCACAAGTCAAAGGAGAAATGAAGCACATAACAAATATCCACCCAAGGCTAAATATAACCATCCTTCTTAATGTGGAATTTTATGATGACACCCAACATAAGTAACCTAGGTTTTATGGAATCTAAGCTATCACTTTTTCCATTCTTGAATTATTTTTCCTCTACTCCTTACAGAAACTAAAATGAGAAATGTGACCTTGTATTATAAACTGTCTGGAGATCTTACATATATATTAGACTGAACCTAAGGGCAGTTGTAATCTTTGAAATACAACTCTGCTATCCACTTACGGTAAAATTACTGCAGGGTACAGTCCCTGTAATCATTGTGTCCTGGTGCTGTATCAAACTTGTTTTTTTCCATCTGTCTACATAAATATGAATTGTTTCAGAACAGACACAGATATTTATTTCCCAATTTCATCATGTTTTTAACAACTTTCTCCTCAAGCCATTGTTTCTAACTTGATCTACTATAACCAGGTTGCTTTGATTTATGGCCTTTCAGAGGAAACTCAGACTCACAGTCCAAGTTACTTCAGAACCATAAAAGAAATGGAAAGCCAGTAAGCTTTTTAAAAGCCTTATGAGACTTTTTCTCTGCCCTTTCTTTTTCATTAACCTGCTAAATAACAAAGCTGAATGTGTGCCAAGTCATAATGGCCACCTTTTTTTTTTCCTGGACATTTAACATAAATAATCACAACATTTATCAATCAATAATTATATCATTTGTAAGGAGGCCCACCACATCAGTTATAGTTCTGTCTTTCTCTTTGTAGATATTGCTATGCTACCACCCCTGTGAAAATAAAAGGAATCCAAACCACTAAACATTAAAGAGATTAATCATGTTAGCTGCTGGAAGTATATAACCTGGGTAATTCCAGAGGTTTGGTGAGGTTAACGCTCTTTTTAAATATGGTGTGTTTTCTCAGGTGTACTTGGAGACAGACACAAAAATTACTGCACAAAAATCCCCAAGCAGTTAGAGAGAAAGAAGAGAGGGAGAAAAAGAAGTATTTTGGGCTGGAGAGAGGACTGTCACACTTTTGTGTTTTCCTTGTAAAACCTGACCAAACTGTACCTGAAAGTA